TCCAGTCTGGGCGACAGAATGAGACTCCAACTCAAAAAATAAAATAAAATAAAATAAAAACTGTTGTTATCACTAAGTTGTATAAGTCTTACTTGTCAAGTTATAGTAGTACAGGAAGTCCCCGACATACAAGCAAGTTACATTCCAAAAGCATGTTTGTAAGACCAGTTTGTTTTAGGGCCAAAGTTAGCCTAGGTACCCGACTAACACAATTGGCTTATAGTACTCTATGTATTTAGCAGGCTGTACTGACACCTGGTCGAGGGAATACATTTAAAAATACAGGTGTGCATCTTTAAAGTTCATAATTTAGCCAGGCTCGGCGGCTCAGCCTGTAATCCCGCGCTTTGGGAGGCCTAGGTGAGTGGATTGCCTGAACCCGCGGGTTCAAGACCTGCCTGGGCAACTTGGCGAGACCTCATCTTTACAATAAATCAAAAAATTAGCCAGGTGTGGTAGCACGTACCTGTAGTTCCAGCTACTTGGAAGGCTAAGGTGGAAAGATCGCTAGAGCCCAGCAGGTCAAGGCTGCAGTGGCTGGGAGTGGCCACTGCACTCCAGTCTGAGCAACAGAGTGAGACTCCAACTCAAAAAATAAATTAAGTAAATAAATAAATAAATATAAATAAAGTTCATAACTTGAAGGTTTGTATGTAGGGGACTTACCATATACTTGAAGGACAGAAATGTAGTTCTGTTCTTTTCTCCTTGAGTTGGAGTCTCACTCTGTCGCTCAGGCTTGAGTACAGTGGCACGCTCATGGCCACCGCAGCCTCGCCTCCTGGGCTCCAGTGCGTGCTACAGGTGCGTGCTACCACGTCTTGCTAATTTTTTATTTTTTTGCTGTAGAGACGAGGTCTTGCCAAGAACACTTCTTGTTGTTGGCCAGTGGACTGGCTCTGAAAGAAGAAAAAGGGAAAGGCTGCCTTGGAGATGCCCATATATTCTTCTTAAATATTTTAATCAATAAATTCCCCTCACCTTCCCAAAAGTGACAAAAAAGGAAGGATCTAGGAGTTAAACACTAAGTGGAAACTTGGGTGGGTTAAGGCATGTTCCCAGCAAATAGTTTGAAAGGAAGCCATCCTTTCAGAGCTCACTTTAGTTTTTAAGTGGCTTAGTACAGAATTGAGAATTCCTATTGTAACTGTAGAATGTTGGCTTCGCTGTTTCTTTAGTCCTGGGTAAGGGATTGTCTACTCAGGCCAGAATTCATGAACGCGATACCTGTTAAGTTGCCTTATGTCCTAGACTGTGTTTTAACTTTCATTGATTTCATGACTACTGACATTCACTGATTTTTCATAGGACCTGGATATTGATCCAAAAGATGCAAATAAGGGCACGCCTGAAGAAACGGGCAGCTACTTAGTATCAAAGGATCTTCCCAAGCATTGCCTCTACACTAGACTCAGTTCACTGCAAAAATTAAAGGTTACTACTTTTCGTGTTCATAGCTACTCATGGAAAACTCTACGAAACTGGAAATTCTTTTGCATTGCTTTATTGGGTATTAAACTGAAGTAGAGATAACTAGTCTACAGTGGGTTTTTTTATATTCCAGTGACCTTTCTTATATTCTGTCCCTGATAGTAGCCAGAGGACTTTTGTGTAATAATGTATGTACTTACTCTCCATACTGTTGAAAAGTTAGGAACATAGAGCGTTTGAGGTTTTTTATTTGTTTGTTTTTTGAGGCAAGGTCTCGCTCCCTCATTCAGACTGGAATACAGTGGTGTGGCCATAACCCACTGCAGCCTTGAGCTCCCGTACTCAAGAGATCTTCCCACCTCAGTCTCTTGAGTAGCTGGGACTAACAGGCACACGTCACCATGCCAGGCTAATTTTTTTCTTTTTTTTTTTTTGGTAGAGACAGAGTCTCACTGTGTTGCCCAGACTGGTCTCAGACTTCTGGGTTCAAGCAGTCCTCCCACCTTCACCTCCCAAAGCACTGGGATTACAAGTGTGAGCCACCGTTCCCAACCCCATATTCTACTTCTAAATATCTTAGGATTTTCAAATAATCATTTCCTAGTTCTGTGACTTTCTACAAAGCATATAGCAAATTAAAATTGGAATTCATTTCAATCTTTTTTTTTATTTCTAGTTGACTTACAACTGAGAAGCTAGTTCTTGCATGGTTGAATATTCTAATAAAAGCATATCCTTGCAAAATTTGAGATTTTAATTTGTTCATAGCTGCATGACCATAGAATGTATCAGCCAAAGCTCACATGCACTATTAACAATTACAGGCATAAGTCTCTTGTCATCCTGTTCATAGCTTATCTATAGCTTAAAATATCTTCTTCTCTTAGAAATTTAGCCCATTATCTGATTCGTTTATATTTTCCGCCTATGACTGTAGATTGTTATTTCATAATATTTTTTAAAAACAGCTTAAGCTTTTGACCTAGGTATGAAGCCAGGTCTTTTTTTTTTTTTTTTTTTAATGCTAATTCCCTATCTCCAATAATAGGGAAAGATAAGCCCCGCTGCTTGGGAAATACTTTTTTACTGTTCATCAGGAATATAAGATCTCTGTAACTTTAACTGCTTGTAATAGTAAGAACTAGAATTCCACTAAGTTCGTAAATATTGACTGAAGGAAAAGGAAGATGATTACAGCTGACCTTTCTCAGTTCAAAGGAGATATAAAAGATGCCACGAGGATCTGGAACCTGGGAAAGACGGGAGATGAACGGATTTGTGGTGTTGTTGTGTGTGTGAATGACATTTCTTTAAGGTTGCCATGCTTTCCACTGTCGGTGCAAATAACAGACCCTGTTTCTTTTTCTTTCAGGAACATCTCGTCTTCACGGTGTGTTTATCGTATCAGTACTCTGGACTGGAAGATGCCGTGGAGGAGAAGCAGGAGGTGAACGTCGGGAAGCCTCTCATTGCCAAGTTAGACATGCACCGAGGCTCGGGAAGGAAGACTTGCTTCCAAACCTGTCTCATGTCGAACGGCCCTCACCAGAGCTCGCCCTCCCCCTCGCAAGGAGCAGGGCATCACCACTCGTCTCAGGACGCATTCTGTGGCGTTTACCGTCCGCACCTCGGTGACCCAGACTCCGCTGTTCCATCAGAGAGCTGTCCTTGCAGCCGGACTCCAAGCGCGCTGCTTTCGGGCTATTACGCTCACCACTATTCGTGCCACTTTAGCAGGAGCAACGTGCCAGTAGAGACAACGGATGAAATGCCATTTAGCTTCTCTGACAGGCTCCGAATTTCTGAAAAGTAGCCTTGTTTTCGGAAAGTTAGGATGATCACGGGATGCCTCCTGTGAAATAGTGCTGTACTCATGCAAACTGAGGCACAGTGAGACGGCATGTATGTGTAAAGTATCATGGTAATAATGGTTTTATAGCAGACTCTGGACTTAGAGACACTGGACTTACGTTATTTAATCACAGACTTTCTCTTCTTTCACTTTTAAATTGGTTGATTTGTTCTGTAAGAATGAAGTGTGTGTGTGTGTGTGTGTTTCATAACATGAATTATTTCATGTTGACCATTCTGAAGTAAGAACAGTGGGAATGGCTTTTTTTTTGTTTTTTTTTTTGAGTTGGAGTCTCGCTCTGTTCCCCAGGCTGGAATGCAGCGGCACACTCACGGCCATCCCAGCGTTGACCTGCTGGGCTCCGGCAATCCTTCTGCCTCAGCCTTCTAGCCACCGCACCCATCTGATTTTTTTTTTTATTTATTGTAGAGACAAGGTCTCGCCAAGTTGCCCGGGCTGGTCTCAAACCCACAGGCTCAGGCGATCCACTTGCCTCAGTCTCCCAAAGTGCTGGAATGACAGGCTGAGCCACCAACCCTGACCTGGGAATGGCATTTTTATAAGTCATTGTATTTTTAGCACCAGAGAGAACCTTTCTGATCATCAGGCTCAGCCTAATTTCATCAGTGGGAGGACATTGAGGCATCTCATCCGAGTTAGACCTGACATCAGAACTGAGGCCTCCAGAATTCTGTTCCGGTGTTTTGCCACTACACACTGCCTTCCTGACAGGTTCTGAGACAGGTGTTCTTTTTGAAGATAGATTTAAATGTATTTATATATCTAAATATATATAGATGTGCATATCTCAAAGAATGTACAGACTTGAGTTTGTAATCATAGCACTCTGCTGCAAGTGTCAATTTAGAGGTTTGTGTATAAATCTTCTGTAAAACAGGCTAAATTTCTTGTTCATAAGGTTAGTAAAACCACGAGAGGTGACCAAAATGTTCGTCCATGTTAAAGCTCTATAGTAGAGCTTAAGAATCAAGATATGATTGGATAATTTTGGTAGCTGCTTATCTGAATTTTCCAAACATTGAAAGTGATTTCCGCCGGACTCAGTGGCTCAGCCTGTAATCCCGCACTTTGGGAGACTGAGATGAGTGGATTGCCTAAGCCTGCGTGTTCGAGACCCGCCTGGGCAACTTGGCGGGACCTCATCTCTACAATAAATCAAAAATTAGCCAGGCGTGGTAGCGCACACCTGTAGTTCCAGCTCCTTGGAAGGCTGAGGTGGAAGGATTGCCGGAGCCCAGCGGGTCAAGGTTGCAGTGGCCGCTCCCGGTCTGGGCGACAGAGTGAAACGCCAACTCAAAAAAAAAAGAGTGATTTTCTTGATAACATGTATTTTCTTCTTGAATTTTACTAGCCTTACAAGATAATATTCTAAGTACCTTTGATTCTGCCTAAAAGCAGGTTAAAAATGCAACTGGCAGTAACTACGAGGAAAAAGATTAAATTAGTAATTTTTAAAGCTGCACAAAGAAAATCTCAGGCCCAGATGGCTTCACTTGTGAATTATGCCAAGCATTAAAACTAGCACCAATTCTTTGCAAACTTTTTCTAAAAGTAGAAAGCAGAGAACACTTTCCAACTCATCCTATGAGGCCAGTGTTACCCTGATACCAAAACCAGACAAAGACATCACAAGAAAACTATCAACCAATATTCCTTATGAGTGTAAACACAAATCAAAAAATCATTAACAAAATATTAGCAAACTGGCCGGGCTCGGTGGCTCAGCCTGTAATCCCAGCACTTTGGGAGGCCGAGATGAGTGGATTGCCTGAGCCCGCGGGTTCGAGACCCGCCTGGGCAACTTGACCTCATCTCTACAATAAATCAAAAAGTAGCCGGGCGTGGTAGCGCGTGCCTGTTGTTCCAGCTACTTGGAAGGCTGAGGCGGAAGGATCGCCAGAGCCCAGCAGGTCGAGGCTGCGGTAGCCGGGAACTGTACTCCAGTCTGGGTGACAGAGTGAGACTCCAACTCAAAATAAATAAATAAATAAAAATTAGCAAACTGAATCCAGCAACATACAAAAAGGATTATATATCATGATCCAGTGGGACTTACCCAGGTATTTAAGGTTGGTTTAACATCACAAATCAGGTAAGCTAATATATAGTCAGTTCTCATTATTCATAGTAGTTATATTGTGCAAAATGACCACAAGCCAGTTAAGCTAATATACAGTCAATTTTCATTATTCGTAGTAGTTATATTCTATATAATGACCCCAAACCCTAAATTAGCAACTATGTAGGAAAAGTATGTGTGTGTATATACATACATATACTTATCTCACATAGATTCTGAGCTTGAATCCTAAAAACTCATCCTGATAGATTCTATTTTATTTATTTTATAAGTGTGAAAGTGAGGTTCAGGGATATGAAGTGGTTTGCCTGTGACCACCCAGTAACGGGCCAGAATTAATTCAAATCAAGCAACTCGAGTTTTTTACCTGTCTGTGCATGTCCACAGATGATCACAAAAGTACCACAAATATTTATTTGAGGGCTATAAATAAATTTAAGGAAGTTGGTAAATTCACAACTATAAAACCATGAATAACGAGGAACAACTATACCATGTTAATAGAGCACAAACCCGCCTGTTCTGTCTTAGTAGATGCAGAAAAGGCATTTAATAAGATCCAACACCCTTTTATGATACAAACACTCAACAAACGAGGAATAAAAGAGATCGTCCTAAACATGGTAAACACAACACCTATGAAAAACCCACACCTACCTCCTACCTAATGGTGAAAGACAGGACTGAATGTTCTCCCTTAAGAAAGGGACCGGGATGATGTTCACTCTCACCACTTCTGTTCAGCATTGTACTTGAAATGCTAACCAGGGCAACTAGGCAAGAAAAAGAAATAAAAGCCATGCTGGGCGTGGTAGCTCACGCCTGTAATCCCAGCACTTCGGCAGGCGGAAGTGAGGATGGCCCTGAGCCCACGGGTTCGAGACCAGCCTGGCAACTTGGCAGGACCTCGTCTCTACAATACACCAAAAAATTAGCCGGGTGTGGTGGCGCATGCCTGTGGTTCCAGCTACTTGGAAGGCTGAGGCAGAAGGATTACCTGAGTCCAGCAGGTCAAAGCTGCAGAAGCCAGGAGCATGCCACTGCACTCCAGCCTGGGCAACAGAGAGAGACTCCGACTCAAAAAAAAATTAGAAAACTTCAGCATCAAACACAAAGTTTGACTGTGCTGGGGAGGAATTTGAGATGCCTCCAGGCTTCACACTTCAGGACTTGAAATGTGTCACTTGTCTGCTTCTCTGTCCTTCCCCGTAACATAGAGATGATGAGTTAACATTGAGGGGTTTCTAATACCTGACAGAGCTGGCAGTGCTGAGAAACAGCACGCCTGTAAAGCGTCAGCTTTCCACAAGGATCACCATTGTTCTTCAGTTCTCAAAGCCATACCTGGATGCAGGCCAGAGTGCATTTGTGACGAAAATACTTCCTGCAGGGTCCTTGCACACGTTGGCAATGTGTGTCTTCTAAGATAAGTTGCAGTTGCGTTTTATTCACTCCAGATCACTTTTCAAAACATGCGGATTTGTCACCAGATGATATTGTAAGATATCCACCCCCCAAAGCTCTAAAGGTACGATTTAAGAAGATTGTTGGCAATCCCTTCGCGTCCTCTCCCACTGTGGGAGCTTTTCTGTCCTCTCAATAAATCCTGCTTTCTCCAAAAAAAAGATCGTTAACAGTGTTTATCCGTGGTGAGATTTTTTTCGTTCATTTGCTTACCTGTATTTTACACGGTGAACAACTATTGTATAATTTTAACATGTAGATATGCACAATGTATAATGTAAATAGCCTCAGCTTCAATAAATCTGTTTTTAGAACACATCGGTACCTCTCCTTAAGGACAGTTTTGCGGTTGTGTACAGGACTTCACTTACGCTAATTCTACCTGTGACAAAATGAGTACAGCCGAGTCTACCTGTAAGTCTAAAGTCATTCTCGCTTTTTTCATCATGTCTGAGTTTAGTTGACAAGCAGCATTTTAAGTCATCAAAACGGCTGGAGGAGTGTTGATACATTGAGAAGTTGCCAGGCCCCAGGTCGCAGGACAATGGATGGCATCACTTCCTGTGCTCTGGGTGCAAACATTTTAGACAGTCTCATCCAACCCTCAACAGCTCGGCCGCAGATTGGGTCAGACTCCCCCTTCTGAGCTCCCAGAGCCTCGACTTACCCTGCGGTACGCCTGTCTCTCCACACTGCTCCCCTCTGCTTGTCTTCCCACGGCTCTCAGCCTGCGGGCAGGGTAGGGGCTCTCCAGGGTTCCCTCCCCTTGGCCTCCACACCCCCGTCCTCACCCCCTCTGCGCCTCCCTCGAGGGAAGAACTCCAGACACTTCTCCAAGGCTGAGCTCACTTGAGGTCCCAGCTCCTCTGGGCCTCCGGGTCTCAGCCCATCCCTTGCCGGATGTGCCCGGAGTGCCACATTCAGAGACCTGCCCTTCCCTCCCGCCGGTGGGGTCCGCCCCGTCCTCCGTCACGCGAGCGGCCTCTCCCTTGACACCGGCTCCCTGACCTGAAGCCGGTGACCCTTCAGGGTCCGCCCGTCCTCTCCCACGCTGCTCGAAAACACAGTCTACACCCTCCTCTTCGTTTCCTCACATCCTGGTCATGCCTCAGTCTCCCACGTGAACCCCAATTACAGGAAGAATGAAGATGTCCTTTTTTTTTTTTAAGTTGGGATCTTACTCTATTGCCCAGGCTGGAGTGTCATATGACACATTGAGTGCGGCTCACCACAGCCTTTATCTGGGCTCAGGTGATCCTCCCACCTCAGCCTTCTGAGTAGCTGGAACTACGGGCACACACCACCATACCTGGTTAATCGTTTGATTTTTTTTTTTCCTTGTTTTGTAGAGACACGGTCTCCCTGCGTTGCCCAGGCTGGTCTCAAACTCCTGGACTCAAGCTCTCTTCCCACCTCGGCCTCCCAAAGTGCTGGGATTACAGGCGTGAGCCACTGCACTTGGCCTCTGTTTTTTCTTGGCATGTTACGATCTACTGGAGAGACATTTTTAAAAGTTGTAAATAATGAATTTTTGATGAGATCTTAATGAGGGAGATGCCCAAAAAGTCAGAATCATCTTTT